ATGTTCAGGGGCATTTACACCACCCTCAGGGGCGGGGACGTTGGGGGTGTTCACACCACCCTCAGGGGCGGGGACGTTGGGGGGCATTCACACCACCCTCAGGGGTGGGGACGTTGAGGGGAGCATTCACATCACCCTCAGGGCCAGGGATGTTGGGTGGGGCATTCACACCACCCCCAGGAGTGGGGACATTGGGGGGGGAGCTCACACCACCCTCAGGGGCGGGGACGTTGCGGGGAGCATTCACATCACTCTCGGGGAGGGGATGCTGCGAGGGGCGTTCACACCACTCTCAGGGGCAGGGACGCTGGGGGAAGCATTGACATCACCCTCAGGGGCGAGGATGTTGGGGGGGCGTTCACACCACCCTCAGGGGCAGGGACACTGGGGGTGCTCATACGGTCATAATGAGTGTTTTTCATTTCAACTTGTCGCCATCACATGACCACACTGGGCAGGAGCTTCATGGCACACCTCCCCCACCACCCTCCTGGGGTGGCCTTTCCATTCCCCACGCCCCTCCATGCCTGACCACCCCTCCCCTCCTGCCCCTGCGTGGTCCCCAGAGACACCCGAGCCGCTGACTTCCGACTCAGCGTGCTCCAGCACCACGGCCCTCTGCACCCCGTGTGGCAGCCCCACCTGCTCACTGTCTTTCACCGATTCTCCCTCCGGGAGCTGCGACCCAGCCATCTCGTGCCACCTCCGTTTCACTGCCCGGTACAGGAACTCCTCCACCTCCCTCTCGGGGAGGATGTTGGGGTCCCAGAGCAGCTGGTCATCATTCTCATAGACTGTGGAGAAGGAGTGCTGGGGTCACGTCACGGGCACACCGTCCGTGCCCACGCCTAGGGAGCTCCCCCTCCTCTGACAGCCCCGTCAGAAGTGCCTGCTGGGGCACCTCCAGAGGACCTGCCTGGTTCTCTCTCGCGTAGCAAAGAACGACTATACACAGATCACCAAAGACAGTATTTCATGACCAGGTAGAGTTTACTCCAGAACGCAGGGCTGGTTTAATGTCTGAAAGCCCATCAAAGTGAGGACGAAAGAGAAAAAAACGACTGTCTCAGGACACACAAAAAGTAAGTGACAGATTTCAAACTGTCAGCTGCTAACAAAAGGGAACTTCCTCGTCCAAGAAAGACCATCTACAACGGCCTACAGCCAACGACATACTAAATGGGACACAGAACGCTTCCCCCAAGTTTGGGAACAAGACGAGACATCATCTCTCATCTCTTCTTTACCCTCCTGTCCTGAAGGTGTCGCCAGTACAACACGGCGACAAAAAGAAAAAAAAGACACAAAGTTTGCAAAAAAATGAAGTGAAGCTATCATTCACAAGTCACACGATCACATATGTAAAAAAAATACAAAAGCACCTACAAAATACTAAAATCGGTAAATAAGCTTAGCAAAGTCAGTGTACAAGATCAATTGAAATAACAAACTGCACTTCTACTAACAGAAATCAAGTAGACATGAAATTTTTTAAAATACCTTTTACAATACCACAAACAGGGGCCATCGGGTATGCACAAGACTGCTACAAATACACCGCTGGATTTCAAGAGGGGAAACCACACGGGTGATCTGCAAGTGTCGACGGTGTTGCCATACACGCTCTCCACAAATTAATCTCAGGATTCAGCACAACTCTCATCAAAATCGAGCAGCTGACGAGCTAATTAGCAACTTCTATGGAGGTACCATCAGGCTCCTGACGTTGGAGGACGGGCATTGTCTCAGACGTGGTTCAAGGGAGACCAGTGAGCAGAAGCCCAACACACGCATGCGTGACAGACACTCCGCTTCTGACAAGGACCTCTGCGGTGCAGCAGGCGGGAACGGTGTGTCCCATCGCGGGGCCAGAACAAGGCGCAGGTTAAAGCACTCCTGACCCACACCTCCAACCACACACTCAACGTTAAATTAAGTCGGATCATTGCTTTCTACGAGACAGGGAAAATAAAGGAGAACAGCTTCTGCGAAAACTTCTTTAACGGCACACAAACACAGTACGGTCAGAGTAAACACCGACGACTCGGACGTCATCACAACTGAAGACACTGCCAACTGGGAGAAAACATGGTGGTGCCCACAGCCGAAGACAGCCTTGCATCCAGAACACCAGAAGGACGCCCACAAATCAGACAGAGAAAGGCGATTCCATCTAAAAATGCGGAAAAAGCCTTGAGCAGGTGCCTCCCAAGAGATCTGCAAATGGCCAGTAAACATGGTCCCTCTCCAGAGAATCGCCAATTAAAGCCACAACAAGACACCCCTCCTCACCCACAGACCCTGTCAAGTGTGCATGAGGACGTACACCAACGGGGACTCCCACAGGTCGCTGGAGGGAGCCCGAGCAGCACAGGCAACTCCCAGCCATCTGTCCAGGAAGGAGCGCATATGTCCACAGAGAGAGACGCGTGCAGAGACATCCGGAGCCACACACGGAAACAACCGCACGACCGACCAACAGTACAACGGATGAGCAATGTGGTCCCTCCACACCAGGAAACAGCACACGACAGCATACAAGGTCCACGTGCCACACTATGGATTTAACTTCCCAGATGTGGCTTGGAGGGAGATGCCAGCTCCCATCCCCTCGGGACCAAGGACCAGCCATTCCCTGGAAGAGGAAAAGGCCCGAATGCCACACTCAGTGAAGGCTGGCGTTCCGGACTGAGGTCTGCACGCGTTCAGGACAGCCTGAGGGTGTAGCTAAGAAGCGTGCACCGGTGCCTTTTTCTGGAGGAGGGTCTCCTGTGTCATCAGATTCACAGATTCGCCTCCACGGTCCCGGGACCCAGCTGAGCTGCATGTTCCTGTCTCCTCCTTTACCCAAACTGCTTACGGCGGAGCAAGCACATGCCACCAAGGCCACATCCCAGCTCCTGGCCCAAGGCCTCGATATCTCTGCTGCGAGTCCCTGTCTCCTCTGTCTGTCCCACCTCACTGCCAATCTCAGCAACTGAATCATCCTGGGAGAGACTCCTGAGCCAGGGGTGCCAGCCCCGGACCCACAGGGCCGCTGGGGCCAGGAAAACAAGACCTGGGTCAACAGCCAGGTGACTTCACTTCCTATTTTCTTCACCTATAAGTGAACAGGGCAATGCCTATCTCAAAGGACAACAGGCCTCCCTCCATGTTCCAGTGGGGACATCAAGTCCGGGACAGGTACTGCCCTAAGAAGAGCACAGGACAGAGCGACACGCAGGGCAGAGCGACACTGGTCTCTGGCGGTCATCTGGGACAAGGCCCAGACGCGGGAAGAGCCGGGTGGGGAAATGTGTGCACACCTGGAGAGGCGAGGGCAGGGGCCTGCGCAGGAAAAGAAGGGGCAAGACGGGGCGGACAGAGCCGAGGGCAGGGAAGCGGGGTGCTGGCTGCACAGGGCGGCAGGACCACACAGCGCCGAGCTGAGGGGCAGTGAGCAGGGAGGGGGACACCAACTGGCCCATGGTCCATGCCCTCCTGCCCCTCACATTCCCTCCAAGGGCTGGGGAACTGGCTCTGGGTAGGCACGCAGCAAGTTCCTTCCTGGCTACACTGGGGTTCTCGCTTCTTCTCCCCATCTCCCACACTCACCAGGCCCCACTTACGTTTCTCACCGTGGCGGTCCAACTGCAGGCTGCTGAGGTCGGCTTGGAACTGAGGCCCAACCATGATCTCCTGCAAAGGCAAAGGCCCAAGGCAGTCAGGGCTGATGGGAAGCCCAGCCACAAGGTGCTGACGTGGGCCCCAGGGTGGCCGCCTAGAGCCCCGGGCTCATCTGTGCCATCTGCCCACAGATGCCAAGTCCTGTGGTCTTGAGCACGAGAGGCAGAGAAGGGTGTGGGTGTGAGTGACAGTGTCTGCACCCACTTGTCCGTCTGTCTGGTACAGCCAGTCCCATGGCAAGGGGGGGGTGAGGCCCGAGGACCCAGGAGTTCTGGGGTCCAGCCCAAAGGCCCCAGGACAGGACCTTGGGCCACATCACGAGACAAGAGTACAGTCAAGTCCCTAGCCCAGCTCACCGCTCAGGAGCCACATGCTCAGCCCTGCCCTGAAGGGCCAGAGACCCACTTTCAGGGCGCCACTGGGTCAGGGCCACTCACCTTCTTACATTTGTTGGCAGGAAGAGGGTCCTCCTCTGTGTCGGAAGAGGTGGAAGAGCTAGGCTCTTTGTCTGCATCAGCCAGGAAGCAGGCTTTGGGGAAAGGGGAGCAGCTGAGTCGTGCCCATGGCTCCAGGGGGCCCACCCTGGCTAGCAGGCTCTGGGCACCACTGCACCTCCCCCCAACTCTCCGTCCACCTGACCCCTACACTGTGCCTTTCCTGAGAAGGAGTGCGGCCCACACCCTGGCCAGATGATGGGTGTGCAACAGGCCCAGGATTGGGGACTCAGGAGGCCTCCCCCTGCTACGGTCGCTACCCTGCCAAGCCCTGAGCCTGGCACCTCACCCTGCCAGCCTCCCAGGATGCACAGGCAGGCAGAGCCGAGGGGAGGACGGTCTCAGGGCACTGCCCCAGACCTGACAGACTTCCAGTTACAGGAACACATTCCCTCCTCAGCCACTCAGTCTCCGCTCACAGGTCATCAGGAAGGTGGGAAGCCCAAAGGAGCTCAGACTGAGGTCAGGGCGCCCACGGGGTACGAGGCATCCGTGCACAAGTGCCTGGCCCCCAGCAGCTCGGGGCCCCTCCATGTGCATTCCCACAGCCGCGCTTGGCCAGCCCAAGGGGAGGAGCAGGAGGGACACCTACGTCCACTCTGGTTAGGAAAAAGGTCAGAGGCCTCATGGGAGGTCACAGACGGGGTCAGGTCATCGGCTGATGACTGTGTCTCTTCCTCTTCTTCCCCTGAAAGCAAATCCTTCGCTATTTGCTCCTTTTAACAAGAAAGCAAAGAACGTGTTTGTGGTTTATTTCGACAATCTCAAGATAACATGTAATTAACAGCAAGTAACAGTGCTAACGCGGTGACTGATGCCACAAGCCCACTCTGGATGTCCCTCCCCCCCTGCAGACAGAGAGGCCAGGCCCAAGGGCAGGCCAGCAAGGGGCACTCCCTGAGCCCAGCCCTGCGGCCTGGGAACCAGAGTCCCCGCGCTCTCCACTAAGCAGCAGTCTTCACCTTCGGTGACGAAGCCCGCCCTGCTGACACCCGCCCTGTCAGGACCCGGGGGCCCGGCCCAGGAGAACCGAGCTGCATCTCTCTCACCCGGTCTCCACTCCGCCCCTCCTCCAGCCCAGCCCGCGGCCCCGCAGACCGGCAGCTCAGACTGTGTGGGGGACCGTCACACCTGTCCTCAGTCCACTCACCTTGTCCAGGGTCATGTCTGGGAGGTTGGCTGTGGTGTCACTGCCCTCACTCTCCCGCTCCGAGATGGGGTCTGATGCCTCATAGCCATAGAGGGCAAGCAGCTCGTCGAGGGGCATGTCGCTGCTCTGCAGGGGCAGGGCTGTGTCAGGAGGGCTGCTCGGGGTTCTGAGCCACCTCATCGCACTCACAGCAGCTAACCCCAGCCAGACCCCAGTCCTGCATCCAAGGACTCCCTTAACCCCGTGGAGAGGCAGGGACAAGACACCTGGGCCCAGAGAGATCCGCTCTGTGCCCAAGGCCCCAGCCTTGAAGAGTGGGGCCAGGAATGGCCTCTCCCTCCACAGGGTCCTGCCCAGGCTTAACCCCAGCAATGGAGGATGACTCAACATCTGTAAATCTACCACACCTGGTGACGTCGGGCAATCAGAGTCAATCAGAAGGGAAAAACATGGCCATCCAAGAAACATACGGTAAAATCCAACATTTGCATCAGGTAGGGAGCAATCCACCACATGGATGCGACAGAGACGCTGTCAGCCCTCGCCAGCAGCGCGACCCCACGCCAGCCGACTGAGAGGGGAGGCTCCAGCCCCCCACAGGGAATGGACACAGTCGGAGGCAACAGGACGAGAAGCGGCGTGGGGAGGAAGACGCGCACGACCATCACCTTCCTCTCCAGTCCCGTCCCCGGGTCACCGCTTCTCACGCCTGTCTCTCTGCTCCTGACGCCGACGCTGTCTGGCCGCACCGTGTCCTCACACCAGTCAGCACCCCCAGACACCCTCGCTCATCCCCCCCCCCAGGTCAGCTCCTGCCCCGCCCTCGCCCCTCCCCACAGAGCCCAAGCTCCCCCTCCCACCCTCCAGGACCCCACTAACGGGGATGTTCAGGACGCCTCTCACACTTTCTAACTGTGCACCTGCTGGGCGATTAACACAGGGGCCCTACAACCCCCGGGTGCCTGGGACCCTTTCGCAGCGACTTTCCTGAGAATACGACGGCATTACTTCCGCCCTCTGTGCCTGCACGCGTGCCAAGGGAGGGAGTCACGGGTGGGGCACAGCACCCCACAGTTGCGAGCCGTCAGCGGGCATCCCTTCCTGCCACCCACTGAGTTGTAAACGTGCTGCTTCCCTCGAGGATGCCCTGTGCACGTTCCTGATGGTATTCTCACTCTTGCAAAGCAGACGTCGTTTTAATTTTCCATGTGAGGAAAGGGGAAGCACAGGGAGTGCCTGCCACACCCCAAAGTGCGGGTCTGTGCCGGAGCGCCTGAGTGTTGCGGCAGCTGTCCCCACCACGCAGCTCCGCTCTCGAGGGACAGACTGGCCGGCCGGCAGGTGACGACAGGCCTCCCGTCGGGCCCCGCGCAGACGTATCAGACAAGAGCCCAGTCAGCCATCCCTCCAGACAAACAACGGACTGAGCCCGCTGCAACAGCAAACCTCAGGCTTTTGAGCAAGAAACTTTGATTTTCGAAAATCTGGATCTGACAACATGAGCTTGATAAATTTGCAATATCATTTGTTAAGGTGATACAAAAACGGCAGTGTTTCTGTTTTTATCTTGGAAATTACATTCTTTCTTAATGTTTTTTTTTTCATTTAAATTCAAGTTAGTTAACACATAGTGTACTATTGGTTTTGGGGGTAGAGTTCAGAGATTCATCAGTTGCACAGAACACCCAGGGCTCTCTCCATCATGTGCCACCTTTGAGACCCATCCCCCAGTCACCCCCTCCCCCCAGCAACCCTGCTTCTTTCCTAAAGTTTGGTGTCTCTTATGGTTTGCCTCCCTGTTCTCATCTTTATTTTTCCTTCCCTTCCCTTATGTTCATCTGTTTTGTTTCTTAAATTCCACCTATGAGAAAGATCCCATGGCATTTGTCTTTCTCTGATCTTAGTTTTTAAATATTATATCTGAAAAAAACCTAGGTGAGGTATTTAATTAATACATGGCTGATTTTACTTTTTGGTTAATCTTGAGACGCTTTAAATTCATTTTAAACTTTTTTTTTTTTTTTAAGATTTTATTTATTTATTTGACAGAGAGAGACACAGCGAGAGAGGGAACACAAGCAGGGGGAGCGGGAGAAGCGAAGCAGGCTTCCCGCAGAGCAGGGAGCCCGATGCGGGGCTCGATCCCAAGACCCCGGGATCATGACCTGAGCCGAAGGCAGACGCCCAACGACTGAGCCACCCAGGCGCCCCCATTTTAAACTTTTTTAAATTGTTTTTTCTTTTGTGAAGAGAAGACTTTTGTCTTTGGTTATAAGACCAAATTGGCACCAAGCAATACATGGCACCAAACTAGGTAAATGCCCCGTGATTACTGCTTAAAAACTTTTAAAAATTCCCAATACTTTAAAGATGTTTGATGAAATCAGTGTTGATATTTTCACGAACCAAAAATTCACATGCCAAAGCGCTAACCCCCAACGTGACTGTATCTGGAGATGGACCTTTGCAGGAAGAGTTACAGTTACACAGGATGTGAGAATGGGACTCTGATCCAGTGGGATTAGGTCCTTAAAGAGACCCCAGACAGCTTGCTTGCTCTCAGGCACGTGAGGACACAGAGAGAAGGCAGCCATGTGTAAGCCAAGAGGGCCCTCACCAGAAACAACCCTGCCCGACCCTGAACGCAGAGTCTTCTGGCCTCCACAACTACATTGGTTAAGCCCCCCGTCTACGATATTAACAAGCGAGGTTCTCAGATTTTGTAGTGTGAACTTACATTTGCAAGATGGGCAGGCTGGAGAACCAGTATGCTGCAAACATCTCACCATGCAGAAGGTAATAGGGTCACACAGTGGGGAGAGCCACTGCAAGTTCACCACCAACGGATTCCAACAGAATCACATCCAGAACGTTCACAGGATATGAGTGTAGAAGCCACTCTGCACCCGTCACAAAACTACCACTTACTGGATCTGGGTGCTGCATCAAGGGATATCCACAATTATCTGAGAAGCTGGTTAAGTACTCTCCCCTCTTCCGAGAACAGATCTGTGTGAGACCAGATTTATACTTCAACCAAAAGAACAGATTAACGAGACAGCAGCTGGGTTCTCATGTTCGCTTCTGCATTTACGAAAATATGAAGCTATTCCACTCATCTCCCCAACCTGTTTTTGGGTTTTCTTTTTTTTAAAGATTTATTCCATTTTTATTACTTTTTTAACTTAAATTCGATTAACTAACATACAGTATGAGTTTCAGAGAGAGAATTTAGTGATTCATCATTTGCATACATGACACCCAGTGCTCATTCCATCATGTGCCCTCCTTAATGCCCATCACCCAGTTACCCACTCCCCCATGCCTCCAGCAACCCTTTTTGTTTCCTATGATTAAGAATCTCTTATGGTTTGTCTCCGTCTCTGATTTCATCTTGTTTTATTTCTTCCTCTCTTCCCCTATACTCCTCTGTTTTGTTTCTTATATTGCACATATGAGTGAGATCATATAATTATCTTTCTCTGACTTACTTCACTCAACATAATCCCCTCCAGTCCCATCCATGTCAATGCAAATGGTGAGTAGTTATCCTTTCTGATGGCAGAGTAATCTTCCCTTGTATATATGGACCACATCTTCTTGATCCATTCATCTGCTGAAGGGCATCTCAGCTCCTTCCACAGTTGGGCTATTGTGGACATTGCTGCTATGAACATTGGGGTGCAGGTGCCCCTTCTTTTCACTACGTCTCTATCTTTAGGATAAATACCTAGTAGTGCAACTGCTGGGTCATAGGGTAGCTCTATTTTTAACGTCTTGAGGAAACTCCATACTGTTTTCCCAAGTGGCTGCACCAGCTTGCATTCCCACCAACAGTGTAGGAGGGCTCCCCTTTCTCCACATCCTCATCAACACTTGTGTTTCTTGTCTTGTTAGTTTTAGCCACTCTAACAGGTGTAAGGTGGTATCTCATTGTGGTTTTGATTTGTATTTCCCGGGTGGCAAGTGATGTGGAGCATTTTTTCATGTGTCTATTGGCCATTTGGATGTCTTCTTTGGAGAAGTGTCTGTTCATGTCTTCTGCCCATTTCTTGACTGGATTATTTGTTCTTAAGGTGTTGAGTTTGATGAGTTTCTTTACAGATTTTAGATACTAGCTCTTCATCTGATAAGACATTTGCAAATATCCTCTCCCATTCTGTAGGCTGCCTTTTGGCTTTGTCGACTGTTTCCTTTGCTGTACAAAAGCTTTTTATCTTGATGAAGTCCCAAAAGTTCATTTATTCCAAAGAGAGACAGAGTGAGAACACAAGGGAGAGGGGGAGAGGGAGACACAGAATCCCAAGCAGACTCCCCGCTGAGCGCAGAGCCCGACACAGGGCTCAATCCCAACACCATGAGATCAGGACCTGAGCCAAAACCAAGAGTCGGACACTCGACCAACTATACCACCCAGGCACCCCAACCTGTTTTTGTTTTAGAAGCTATTTTTTTAAAGATTTATTTATTTGAAAGAGAGAAAAAGAGAGAGTAGGGGAAGGGGCAGAGGGAGAGGGTGAAGCAGACTCCCCGCTGAGGAGGGAGCCAGACATGGGGCTCGATCCCAGGACCCTGAGATCATGACCTGAGCTGAAGGTAGATGCTTCACCGACTGAGCCACCCAGGTGCCCCTATTATTTTTTTCATTTTCACGAATTTTATAAATTGTTTCTATTAACAATGCATGTACCATGTAACCTACACAAAGCTCTTTGAAATCCTCAATAATTTTGGGGGCGCCTGAGTGGCTCAGTCATTAAGCGTCTGCCTTTGGCTCAGGTTCGAGCCCTGCGTCGGGCTCTCTGCTCGCAGGGAGGCCTGCTTCTCCCTCTCCCACTCCCCCTGCTTGTGTTCCCTCTCTCGCTGTCTCTCTCTTCTGTCAAAAAATAAATAAAATCTTTAAAGAAAAAAAAAAGAAATCCTCAATAATTTTTAAGAGCATAAAGGGGGTTCTGAGGCCAAAAAAGAGAGAACAGTGGGTTTAATGCCTACAGCCCTAAAGCCCCAGGGGCACAACCAGGTCTGGCCTGACCCCCCGCGACCTCAGCTCCTAGCACAGCACCTGGCGCTTCACAAACACACACAGGCACACTTGTCCCTGTGAAATCTGAGCAGCCTGCAGACGGCTTCCGCCAAACGCAGAAACGTGACATTGCCCAGGGGGCCCCACTCACACAAGGGCAGAGGGGACCAGCTCAGCCAAGTACCTGGGCGATGAAGTCCTTCTCCAGCTCCCCCTCGGGCTTCTCTGGGTCTCCCGCGGCCTGCTCGCACTGCTCCCGGATGCCGTAGTTCTGGGACAGGATCTCTACGAGGTTGAACTGATGGTCTGCAGAGCCCATGGACACCACTGTGGAGGAGACACCAGCCTGCATGAGCTGCTCACCCCACACACCCCAACCATCATGCGAGGTGCAGGGCGGCGGGGGTAGGACCCGACAGTGGCCCTGCTGTCACCAGGGACAAGCCCCACAGCCTGTGCCCAGGTGTACATGTGTGCTCGTGCACACACAGGGAAGGCTGTGTGTGTGCGTGTGTGCACACTGGGAGGCAGCACAGTCCGTCACCACGGAGGATCCCCCAACAGAGTGACTGCGGACAGAGGAGCACGCCGGCTAACTGCACTGTACATACACACTCTGGGAATGTGGGGGATGTGCTGTCCTGGAGGCTCACTTGGTCCCCTCAGCACAGGCCCCGAGGTGGCGTGAGGAGGACTCCACAGACAAGGGAGAAGTGAGCACCAGGGGAGCCAGGGCGGAAAGAACAGAAGGAGCCGAGGGGGCCGGTGTCCCGTCCAGCAGGCCCTCAGCTCCTGGAACAGAGGTGATGCTGCACGCACACAGCCACACGTCGCCGCAGGGACAGCACGCTGCGGGGGGACGCACAGGAGGCCCAACAAACGCTGGTCCTCCCTCCAGCCTCAGCGGAACAAGAGCACAACCACCTGCACGGGCGAATGGGTGGCAGATGTGACCAGATTTTTGGTTTTCCCAAAAACCCCAGGATGCGTTTATCGCTCGCTCTCCATTCCGGTCTTCTTCAGTAAGTCAAATTTAAAGAAAACAAAGACAAAAGGAAATGGCGAGGGCTCCATCCACCCAGGCCAGGAAGCAGTGAAGGCCGAGGCTGGCACCCTCCCTCCACCTGGGTCCACACGCAGGAGGAGGGGGAGCTGCGAGGGGCCACCTTCAGGAGCGGGGGCGGGGGCAGAGCACCTGGGAACAGCGCCCACCCAGCACCAAACCCAGTCTTCCTGCCTTGGCTGAGGTGCCTGCCAGGCCGGCGGGCCACCCCGGGCCAGAGGCCGTCTGGTCCTCTCCTGGGCTGCCCTGCCCCCACTAGAAGACGAGGAGAGAGTCCCGGCTGCTAGGCCCACACCCCTGTCCTTGGACTCTGGGAGCCAGCACAGTGTGTCCGGCTCTGCCTGGCTGAGCAAGATGCTGTCTCTTACAACCACAGAGGCCCTGGTGGCCCTGGGCAGGGGGAAGGGAAGGGCAAGGAGGGTACCTGCTGCGGTCTGCAAGCTGGGCTCCCCCGGGCACAGGCTGTGAGCGAGGCAGGAGGCCACGCCAGGGCTCTGCCTTTCCAGTGAGGAGGCCTGTGGAGGAACAGAAGCGAGGTTGGCTCGGCTGGTCTGGAACCCACTGGCAGATGTCTCTGCAGGACGCCGGGGAGCAGGTACAGCTCAGGGCCCAACTCCCCAGGCGACCTCAGGAAGTGGCCTCAGCTGGGAGAGTCTCCCTTGGCTTCTATGCAGAGAGTGACAAACAGATTCCAAAAATCATACAAAACGTCAAGGGACCCAGATAAGCGAAAACAATCCTGAAATAGAACAGTTCCTGATTTCAAAATTACTACAAAACTACAGTGGTCAGAACAGCGTGGCACTGTCATAAAGCTACACACATAAGCCAAGGGGACACACTTGAGAATCCAGAAATAAACCCACAGTCTTACTGCCGACTGAATCTCAACAAAGATGACAAAACAGCTCAGTCGGGGCATGAACAGTCTCTCCAATAAATGGTGCTGGGACAACAGGAAGTCCACATGCAAAAGCATGAAGCCAAAGTGCCTACTCACACCACACACAGATGAGCTCAAAACGGACCCAAGCCCTTCAATATGAGACCTAAAACGTAGAACTCTTAGAAGAAAACACACGAATAAATCTTCTGTTACCCTGGACACTCACATGGTTTCTTAGATAGGACATCAAAAGCATAAGCAACAAGAGGAAAAATACACAAATAAAAACGCTTCTGCCTGAAAGGACATCATCAAGGAAGTAAGAACACAACCCACAGAGGGAGACGAGGTAGGTCTGCAGATCACGAGAAGGAACCTGCATCCTACACGAGGAACTCTTTAAGAGTTTACCTGTCACGAAAAGGTAACTCAATTTAAAAATGGGCAAAGGGTCTAAACAAACATTTCTCCAAAGAGATACGCAGGTGGCCAATAAGCACATGAGAAAATGCTCATCAGAAGACACAAATCAAAGGAGGGAATGCAACGCTAAGCAGGAGGTCTGAGAGGCAGTCATCGGTCCTGCAGAAGGTAAAAGCAGGGTAAGGACGCCCCAGCAAGTCCACCGTTAGGCAGACACTGAAGGGGTCAGAGTCTGTCGTCCCAACATACGCCACGCGGCATTAGGGTTATTCTGAGATGAAGCCAACTGAGCAAAAACAGACACAGGATGACCTCTGCGTTGCCCTGGCCTGCTTCACAGTAGACATAAGTCCCATGTGGGTGCTTCCCCTTCTGCCCCCAAACCAGGCAGGGAACAGCTTAGCACGGAGCTCGTGTGTACAAACACACCTTACTAACTAGCCAGGCCTTCCACTAGCTCCCCGCGCAGCCACCTTCCCACAACCTGGTGCCCAGACAGACCCCAAGTCCTTCTGTGTCGTAACACTTGGTCCACTTGGGCCACTCTTCTGTTGACATGCCCACAGGAGCCCAAGCCCTGACCACCCCCTGGGTTACTCATGTGACTTCTCCTGCGGGATGTGTGCTGCATGACTTAATAAACTGCTTACTTCTCTCTCAATAATCTGTCTTTTGTCAGTCTAAATCACAGGGCCCCACCTGAAAACCGAGGAGGAGAAGGGAAAGAGATGGCCAAGGGAGAAGAAACACACATCTACACTAAAGCTCACACGTGAACGTTCATGGTGGGACCTTCACGAGAGCCAAAGGTGAGAAGAACACAAATGTCCATCAGCTGATGAAGACAAACCAAAGCAGAACACAGGAGCGTCCCGTGGCCTCAAGCAGGAGCGAGGCGCCCACACGCACTGCCCTGGGGACAGACCCCGAGCCCACGACACTCAGGGAGGGAACCAGACATGGAAGGCCACACAGGGTGTGAGTCCACGTGGGTGACACGTCCAGAACAGGCTCATCCGCAGACGGGAAGGGGGCTCATGGGGGCCGGGAGCTGGGGTGGGATGGAGAGTGACCGCTGATGGGGTAGTATTTCCTTTTGGGGCAATGGAATGTTCTAAAGTTGACCACAGATGGTTGTACAGCTCTGAATGTACTGAAAACCACTGAACTCTGCACGTGAAAATGAACTGTATGAATAAACCTCAGCAAAGCTGTCTGCACACACAGAGAAAAGATCTGAATATATAATAAAATTAAGTTTAGGGTTTAGAAAAAGTTTTCTAAGAATTTCCTCACTAGGTCCTCAAGAAAACCTCAAGAGGGTGTGTAATCCTTCTCCTACTAACAAGGGAACTAAGCTCAGAGAGATCAAGTCACTTACCCCAACTCACACAGCATGTAAGCAGTGCAACTACAAACTCCCACTCAGGCTCTGTGACAAAGACCCTCTACAGTCCCTTCACTGTACTTGGCAGCACATAAATGAAAGTTCAGCAAAGCCCTGAGAAAGAGCTGGGACACGAAGTGAATGTGGGTGTGGTTGTGCGTGCATGCCTGTGCGCGTGTGCAGCCTCTGCCAACAGCACGGACAGTTCTGAGCTCTGAGCAGGCCGTGTCCTAGGAAGCGTAGCCCCAGGGTGGCAGAGGCAGTCAGTGGGGAGGACGTGGGACCTGGCAGCAGTGGCTGGAAGCAGGCAGGGAGCAGAGAGCACAGGGGCCTGCCACAGGCGGCCTCACCTTCCAAGGAACAGCCATTAGCCCACACGGTGTGCACCCGTGGGGCCAGCACCCTAAGTGTCCTCTGACATCACCTGAGCCCTCTCTAGGACCCTCCAGATTGCTGATACACCAGCCTCCCTGGGCTCCCTTTCCCATCTCAGCCAGGGCAGGCTTTCTGTCTCTTGCTACCATAGCTCTAACAGGGGAAATGGAGTGAGGGCAGAGTTTGGACGGCCCATTTTCCAGGGAGAGTTAACTCTACTCCCATGTAGCACCCACCTGCAGCAGGGCCTCAGGTGTGGCGGTCTGAGGTCCCCGGCAGGGTCTGAGGAGGACTTGGCCCTTATCTGACATGGACGTTCAGGCAAAGGAGCAAAGAGGAACAGCTGGGAGGGACAGAAAGGGCAGCAACAGGGAAGCTCCATCCCCTAGGGCAGGGGGTGGGGGCCGGGGGTGAGGGGGTGCTGCTCACAGCATCCAGTCGCCTCAGATCCCCAAGTTCATTCCCAGATGACTCCAGGTTCCTCGAAACTCGCCAAGGAACTCCCCTGCCCCAACATCTGACGTCTAGACGCAAGCCCACCCTCAATAGTGGGATTCCCAGGCGCTCTACTTCCTTTGTTCGGAACACTCTGGATGTTACCATCAGAGTCAAAGCCGTCCATTTTGCAGAGGTGGAAGAAAAACAGTTGGGAGGGGGCTTAAAGGCATTAGGAGAAAAGGACCAGTAGAGACGTGGTCCCAGAGGAGTGGGGAACCCAGGTCTTGGCAAGGACGAGGCGAGCTCGTCAGTCCTGTCTCAGGTGGACCCTGATGGCTCGAATGCGGAGGCCAGTCACTAGGAGACTGGAATGCAGGGCCCTTTTCCCCAGGCAGGTTCCTCCCACTGCCCTTCCCAGCATAACCCACAGCGATGCCGTGGCAGATTCCATGCCCCAAACTGGCGGCACCCACGTGCTCTTCTCCCACGGTGACGCTGGCATGCCTCCCCCTTCCAGAAGTGGGGTTCTGGGGACCTGGATGGGCCTGGGACTCCGGGCAGGGGGCTCCATGTGACTTAAAATGCAGCTCAGTCTCCATCGGGTATCTTCTGGGACAGTCAACAGCCACCACGCTGTGAGGAAGCCCAAGCCACACAAAGAGGCCTGGGGAGGCGTCCCAGCCAGCAGCCAGCAGCCCCCCATGTGAGCAGGGAAGCTTCCTCCCCTGGGGTCAGCTCCAGCCCCAGCCACCAGCCGACGGCAACGGCATGAGGACCCTAAGTGAAAGCTGCCCGGCTGAGCCCAGCGAACCCTCCATACCACAAAAGGTAATAATAAAACAATCGTTGTTTTTACACCATGAATTTGAAAGCAATTCCTTACACAACGACAGCAGGAAGAGCTACACCTGGCTGCCAACCCCCCCCCCCCGGCCCCCCGGCCCCAGCCACAGAACACTTACACTAGGCCAGGTGAGGAGGAGGCCCTGGGTACACTGCAGTCAATGGGGAAACAGGTTCTGCCCGTCTCCACCCACGCGAGTTACCTGTCTCACCAGGACACGGAGAACAAACAAGTGGGAGCGGGTATACACAGTACTGAGGGGAGAAGGCGGAGTCCCTCCGAGGAAGAAATGGAAGGGAGCCAGAGAGCAGGAGTGGGGGCAGGGGGAGATCTGCGGGGACCACATCACTGAGCAGAGGGTCATGGGGAGGAGATGCACTTTACCCCGAGGACAAAGGAAAGCTCTGGAGGGTTTCAGTACAAGACAAAGACAGTGTACTTGGGTCTTTCAAACACTCATCTGGTACCCTGAGGCAGGCAGGACGAAGCTCTCCCATCTTCCCTCGTGGCGCTGTCGGCTACTCCAGCAACAACTGAACTCAGGCAGCTAACGCAGATCAGGCACTTATTGGTAGCTTACAAACTGCCATCTTTATGGGTTAGAGACCGCTCATTACCAGTAACTTCATAAGGGTCAGCTTCCCCGTGCAAACCACTGGGCCAAGATCTCGGGAGACCTCGACTCCAGGGTCTTCCCATTTCAGAGATGAGAGAACAAAGCTGTGAACATTCAGTCACCTACCCAAGGTCACAGAGAGTGGGAGGCTCCAGCTCTGCAACAGGTGCCCTGGGCAGAGGCTGGCTGTGGCTCATCACTTCCGACATCTCTACACTTGCTGGTCCTTTACTGACCAGTCTCTCAGGCCCTTTAGGACAGGCACTGTGGGGTCTGTGCTCACAGTCAGACCCTCAGGGCCTCACACAGAGCCAGGCACACAGGGGAGCTCACACACAGACCTTCTGTGAAAGCGACGCAAATTCACTCAACGGGGCAGCACCTCACTCGGTCAACAGGTGGGACAGGGACACGCTGGGCAGCTGGCTGCTGTGAGGGTTCCAGGGGCTCTGCACCAGGCAAGGCAAAGTCAGAGCCAAACCCCGCAGCTCCGCCAGGCCAAGCGTGCTGCCCACACACCACCCGTACCCTTAACTAGGAGCACACCAACACACTACCACCACACCCCTACCTGGCTTCTGCCTCTGATCCCCTAGGCCAGCCACTGGCCCCATGCGGCTTCAGTTCCCCTAAACGCCCCCTAAGGAAGGAGAACTAAGAACCCTTTGGGTCCAGCCACCCAGCACAACTGGATGCTGAGGTCTGGCCTTGCACCCAGACACCCACACCCTCTCTGGCACAAATGCAGGGCCTGTTGCTGCCCCTCAGAAGGTCACTTGTGGGAGAGAATGGCCATTCCCACCTTGCACAACACCTACCCCTGTCGCGCTAAAACAGAACAGCCCACTCAGCCCCACAACCATGCCGAATACCCCAAGCCGGTGCTATGCCTGGCTGGGTGGGTACCTTCTCCTGTCGGGGTCTCAGGGGCCCCACCCATTTCATGAGGATCACTTGCTGAGTCTGTGGACCTGTGCGGTGTGGGCCCTAACTTCTGCGTGCCCAGACTCAAAAGTCATGTACCGAGAGTCACATTTACTGAGCCCTAGCAGGTGCACTATCTCATTTAATCCTCAGCAGGGCCCTAAAAGGTGAGAGCAGTCCGCCCTGTCTTATCCAACATTTCAAAGTAAAAAAAAAAAAAAAGCCCACCCCAAAATGAAAGTTTTCCGTCCCTGGTTTGACGTGACGTGAAGCTATTTGTTGACTGTGTTTGCCCAGACGGTCCTAGGCGAGTCTGATCAAGCGTCACAGTTCCAAACCCCACACATCCTCAAATCAGAAAATCTCTGCATCCCAAAGCACATCTAGCCGCAAGGATTTCGGGTAAGGGGTCTCAGGCCTGTTTCATGGACCAAGAGGGGAGGCTCTGAGAAGTAAGGCTGGTCGGCCCGCACCGAGGAAGCCCCGATGCCGTAGGCCCCCATCGACCCCCCCCCCCCGGCCCTTGCCGGGTGTGCTCAGGGCGGGCCCGCGGTCGGAGTTCGAGTCCCGCCCGGGGTCTGGTCGGAGCGACTCTGCGGTGCCCCGCACACTAAAGGCTCGCGAGCGGGCTGCCGTGCGGGTCCCACCCGGGGTCCCGACGGGTGAGCGCGGCGCGCCACCACCGCGCGCCCAGAAAGCGCACTCCGCAAAGTTGACAAGCGCGGGGAGGGCAAGGCTGCACGCCGCCGGGAGCGGGGGTCCAGGGCCGAGGACCGCGGGACCCGGGCTGGGGGGGTCGAGGGCCCGGGAAGCCGCGCCGGGGAGCGGGGCGCGCGCCCCCACCCCGCGTCCGCCCTCTCCCCGCAGGCCCGCCCCGCCCCTCCCCACCCCACTCCGCACGCCCGCCCCCCGCCCGCACATGCGCACTGCACCCCGCGATGTGGCAACCGGCGGGGGGGGTGGCCGGGGGCGGCCGCCGACGGAGCTCCGCGCCCCACGGGCCCCGACGGGCGCGGCGCCCCGAGCCCGGCCTCCGCGCCCCGGGGCGGGGGTCTCCGCGCCTGGAGCCCAGACACGGCCGGGCCCTGCGGCCGTGGCCGCGGGCGCGCGGGGGCGGGGGGCCGGCTCCCCCGGCCCGCTCACTCACCTCCGCCATGGCCGTGTGTGCGCGGGAGGCGGTGGCCGCGCCGGGATCCCCGGATGCGGGGCCACGCGCTCATTGGCTGCCGCTCCCGGGAAGGCGGGGGCGCCGGGCGGGGCCGGGGCGGGGCCGGGGCGGGGCCGGGGCGGGGCGCGGGCGGGCGCGTAGTAGGTGCGCGGGGCTGGCTGTGCGGGGCGCGCGGAGCGGGCACGCGGATGGGGATGTGCGGGGCCGCAGCCGGACGCCGGCCTGGGCCGCGCCCGAGGGGCGGGTGCGGCGGGTGAAGACGCCGGTCCCTGACAGCCACACCTGCGCAGGGAGCCCTGTCCCATTTCCTCCTTCCGATATCCCGGCTGAGTACGACCAGTGCCCCGAGTTGGGGACGCGGCAACGGGCGGCCCGTGCGCAACTGCTGCAGCCAGGATGGAAGGCTGGGCAGCGTGCTTCTGGAACTTTCTGCACTTTTGCCCCAGCGAGGACCCATCTCTCGTGCCGCAGAGTCGGCTGAGGCTGGCGAAAATGTGGCTGCCCGGTGCTCGGAGCCAGTCCCGCAGCAGGGGAGGATCCGAACCCGGGGCTCTTTGGCTCTGAAGTCTCTTGTTTTTAGTTTGTCGACTAAATGTCTGTGGGCAGTGTGCACGTTCCGAACCTGTGCTAGGCACTGGGGGAGACTTTGAACGTGACACCCCTAACATTTTAAATTTCATTTAAACATTTGCCACATTTTATTTTTTTATTTTTTTTTATTTATTTTTATTTGAGAGAGAGAATGAGAGATAGCACGAGAGGGAAGAGGGTCAGAGGGAGAAGCAGACTCCCTGCCGAGCAGGGAGCCCGATGCGGGACTCGATCCCAGGACTCCAGGATCATGACCTGAGCCGAAGGCAGTCGCTTAACCAACTGAGCCACCCAGGCACCCACATTTGCCACATTTTAGATTTCAAACTGACAAGGCCTGTGAGCATCAGGGCAGAGGGTGTAGCAAGAGAGGAAGCAAGGAGGTCAGTGGGGAGGTCATCAGCCATCAGAGAGGTCAGCTGATGATGAGGGTGGAGGGGTGGGGACAGAGGTGGACAGTTTGGGAAGGTAGACCCCAGAAGAACCCCAATGCAGTGAAGGTGGACAGAGTGTGAGGACAGCTCCCAAATTTCTGGCTGGCACAAACGAGTAGATGGTGGTCCTACCAAGACTGGGGAGGTGGAGAACTCAAGAGCTGTCAGCCAGTGGAGTACTGAAAGTTGAGATCCATCAGGCCTGATGCTGGATATAAAAGCATTATCCCAGCCCTCTGAGAATCCACCTGTCAGGAGAGAGAACCACTCTTGAAAGGTCTGCCCTGCCCCTGACAGTTGCGTGAGTCAGTGAGTTCCCTGCTCCTTGTGCTGGAGGTTCAGGCCATTGTGACTGAGAGTCCTCACTGATCCATAGAGCAGTTAGTCATTCATCTAGTCACTCATTGAGTCAATCAGTGAACTAAGCACCTGTCCCCTTCAGCCCTCAACTAGGTGCTGGGCTTGCAGGGCTCCCGTGAGGTAGGGAGATGACCAATAGATACAATGAGGGGTGTGTGTGTGTTATAACACGTGGCAGAAACCCAGAAAAAGGGTTGGAGTCAGCCTGGGGTAACCAGATAAAACTTCTTGGAGAGGGCTTTGACAGGAATCATCAGAGAGATGTGAAGGGGGAGGGGAGGGACCCAGATGAAGAGAAGGACCTTTTTAAGGTTTGAAAGTCTCTCTCCACAGACTGATTATTAGTTACAGTGTAGAAATAAGGTAACATTGACCCAGTGATAAAAAAATGAACATCGTAGTGAGGGGCAGAGGGACACCATGTACCTCCCAACCCTGAGAAGGACGCCACATCACTTAATCTGGCCAGGAATGCATAACCTGTATCTATATTTGAGAAAACTGCAGACAAACCCCAAATGAGGAACAAAGAAGGACTGTATTCTTTAGAAATGTTAATGCCATTAAAAACCAGCCTTTCCCACAAGACAGCTAGCAGTGCAGAGGGAAAGTCTATAAGGAGCATTATTGGGCCAATTGACAAGACTGGAAATCAGATGAGGATTAGATAAATCTATGACATCAATGTCAAGTTTACTGAAATTGATAACTGGTCTGTGGTTCTGTAAAAAATTCACAGTGACATATTTAGGGTTAATATAGAGTGGATGTTTGTGTCCCTCCAGCACTCATATATTGAAATCTCGTCCCCAATATGATGGTATTTGGTGGTGGGATCTTTAGGAGGTCACGAGGGTAGAACCCACATGAATGGGATGAGCGACCTCATAACAGAGACCCCAGAGAGCACCCTCGCCCCTCTGGCCTGTGAGCATGCAGGGGGAAGACAGCCTATGAACCAGGAAGCAGGTCCTCACCAGACACCAAATCTGCTGACACTTTGATCTAGGACTTCCCAGTCTCTAGAACCGTGAAAAAGACATTTCTGTGGTTTATAAACCATCTGGCGTATGGCATTTTCGATAGAGCAGCCCAAAGGGACTAAGACACGGGTGAGGTGCCATGATTCATGCAACTTCGGTGGTTCAGAAAAGTGTAATTTGTATCTATAAAACATGCACGGGGGGGGCGGGGAGAGCGAATGATAAAGCAAATGGGGCAACATGGGAGAAGCTGAATCTGGGAAAGGGTATATGGAGATTTCTTCCTCCTATAAACCTGAATGGTTTCCAAAAATAAAAAAGTAAAAGAAAAAAAGCTAAGAACGTAAAAAGCCGTGTCCTTAGCCAAGTCTTAAAGGAGGGAAAAGAGAGGCCAGGAGGGCACCGGGCAGTGGGGACGGCCAAGGCAGAGGCCCGGAAGCCCGCGTGGGTGCGCGCGCCTGTGCGCATGCAGCCAGGCTCTCTTGGATCTCATCCGCCCAAGCTTGACAGGGAGGGAGTGTGCAGCACCCGTGGCCTGACAGGGGCTAGTGACAAAGCTCTCGGGCCCCTCAGGGACCGGGGCCTGGGCCACCCCACCACCAGCTCAGCCTCTGAGACCCGCGAGAGAGCAATGCAGAGTGTGTGCTGGAGACGGGGGGTGACAAGTTTCAGCCACAGCTCAGGTGGTTCTGGAGGTTGTCGCTCACCCCACTCATCTTTCTCTTGCAAGTTTTCCCTCAGAAAAAGAGGTCTGACGATCCTGAGTGAAACGTGTCCAGAACATACTGCATGGAGCTGAGGAGTTCTGGGTGAACTGTGGTGGATACACCATCCAAGCTCCCCAAAAATATGGAAGCAGCATTTCTTCCGGCTGCTAGGGGTGATGGTGGCTGACGGCTCCAAGCTGAGTGTTTCCCAGGCCCTGCCTTCGGCCAGAGGGAGCCCCTCCTCCTTCATGGAGGCTGCCCACACCCAGGCACTTGTCCATGCAGATGCATAAGGCCAGCACCTGCGGCCAACAGGGAACAACTCCAAAGCTCCAGAGGCCCCTGTAGGGTCAGCTGAGACTGTCATCACTGAGGCCCGCTGTCCCTCTGGCCAGCCCTTTTCCTTCACTGCCCGGCAGGTACGGGCCCCAGACACCCTCCTGTCCCTGCTCTCAGTCTCAAAATCTGCTTCCTGAGGGCATAACCTCTGACACAAGGCGGGTCGTAGTTTGAAAGATTTGAAGAACAAACAAAAGAAGTCAGGCAATTTTAGTGCAGCATAAAGACGACAGAGAAGCAAGCCCGAATGTTGTCCCGAGACGCAAACAGGCCAAACTCAGAGGACTCCCAGGGCAGGTGACAGGGCGAATCCCACCCACCTGCCGTAAAGTAGGGACAAGCTGAACGACGTCAAAGACAATTGGTCACACGGCACTGTCTTCCGCCAGTATACACCTTCCCAGTTCACCAGTGTTCTAGAAAATTCCAAACTGGGGGGACAGAGAACAGAGGAGTGGGGACGGGGGAACTGGGTTACCGCAGAGCAGCACCGGGGAATTTGGGGGCAGATGAAACTGTTGTCTCTCTCCATTGTGGGCTGTGCTGTGTGCCCGTGTTGATGCTCATGAAACCATACCTGAAAAAGTAGAAATCCTGGGGCGCCTGGGGGGCGCAGTCGTCGGGCGTCGGCCTTCGGCTCAGGTCGTGGTCCCGGGGTCCTGGGGTCGAGCCCCGCGTCGGGCTCCCTGCTCCGCGGGAAGCCTGCTTCTCCCTCTCCCACCCCCCCTGCTTGTGTTCCCTCTCTCACTGTCTCTCTCTCTGTCAAATGAATAAATAAATACCTTTTAAAAATTAAAAAAAAAAAAAGAAAACGTAGAAATTCTGCTATCTGTACTTTCTATCTCAATAAAGCTGACCGCAAACCACGGTTGTGATAGGCAACACACGTGGTTCTTCATTAACGCTTTAAATCTCAAGATAAGAATTTAAACATAGGTTAGTTAAATTTTGTTTTGTGAAGACATCTTAGTGTGAAGCTCGTGTGTTAGTAAGAACACTGAAATACGAGGCGGTCTTTGACAAGAGATCGTGCACGTCATTTTGGATATTCAATCGATTTAAAGCTTTTGAGGTGCCTGGCTGGCTCAGTCGGAAGAGCGTGCGACTCTTGATCTTGGGTTGTGAGGTCCAGCCCCATTCTGAGTGTGGAGATGACTTAAAAATGAATCTTCAAAAAAAAAAAAAAAAACCTTCTGGCGCTCTTGTTTTGTCTTGTTTTCAATTCAAGGTCCCTAAGGTTGACAGTCCCACCGTCCGCGTTGCCTGTTGGGCAGCCAGGACACACTGCAAGCTCGGACAGCTTCCTCCTCCGCCTAGTGTGAGGAGTCAGTCTTTAGGATCGCTCATCTGTACTACCTCCTCTTGCTGCTATAACAAATTACCACAAAATCGGCCAATAAAACCCACACACACTTGGTATTCCCTGGGCAGGAACCAAGGCGCTCCTTCCAGAGCAGCATCCCTCCCCTGAAGCCAAAGCATGACAGCTGGCTTTGGTGTCATTCCCTCTCTTACACCGACATGTGATTGTATTCTACACACCCAGGTATTCCAGGATAATCCCCTTATCTCAGTCTTTCATCTCATTCACAAAGTCCCTTCTGCCATATAAAATAACATAGTCACCAATTTCAAGATGTCTTTGTGGCATTAGTCAGCTGACCACATACTCCAATCTGCTGGATTCGAGATAGGACCTCACGACATCAAGAGGGGTTTGAGTCCTGGTTGGTCACTTCTGTTCCTCCTCACGAATGCCTACATCCACTCATTCAACAAGTACTTAGTGATCATCTCCCTCCCCTCTTCAAGAAACATTTACGCAGGGGCTGGGACTCTTGAGTTCAAGCCCCACACTGGGTGTAGAGATTACTTAAAAATAAAATGCATCTTTTTTTTTTTAAAGAAACATTTATGCAGCAATCCCCACAGGATCTGAGCGAGGAGTGTCAATTATTCGTTGATTTGTATCATTGTATCAAGAGGATGTGGGTGGGTTTGCTTTTTTTTTAACTTTTCACTTCTGAACACCTGTCTAGTTCTGCACCTATAAGAAATAAATATTCTTGGGGCGCCTGGGTGGCTCAGTTGGTTAAGCGACTGCCTTCGGCTCAGGTCATGGTCCCAGGGTCCTGGGATTGAGCCCCGCATCGGGCTCCCTGCCCCGCGGGAAGCCTGCTTCTCCCTCTCCCGCTCCCCCTGCCTGCATTCCTGCTCTCGCTGTGTCTCTGTCAAATAAATAAATAAAATCTTTTAAATAAATAAATAAATAAATAAATAAATAACTTAGAGTCTGGTGATACTTTTGGATTCTCAGACTCACGGCTCTTGGAAGGCCTGGGAGAACCCTCGTGGAGGGATTCTGTGGTCAGCAGAATAACAGCTCTCAAAGACGCCCATGTCATTGTCCCAGGACCTGGGACGTGTCCCCTCACGCGGCAGAGGCGACCTTGTCACGGCCCCGAGGTGGGGGTGACCCTGGGCTCCCAGGGGGCCCAGCGTCTTCACAAGGTCCTCACGAGGGGGAGGCAGAGGGTGGGAGTCCCAGAGATGGGCAGACCCCGCGCTGCTGGCGGCGAGGATGGAGGGGGGGCCGCGGGCCAGGGAAAGGCCGGAGCCGGGTCTCCCTGGGGCCCCAGGGGGGTGACAAGCCCTGCCCGGACTTCTGAGCCTGGAACTGTCAGAGAATCAGCAGTGAGTGATCATCTGTGGCAGCAACCCCGGGAGACGCGGATGAGGCTGTGAGTCTTTCCCAACCTCTTTGAGCCTCAGCGTCCACCTCTGTAAATGGGCACAATTACAGCCCCCCTTCACTGGGTCACTGTAAAGATCAAGAAGTTATGCGATAAGCATCAGCTCCTTTTATTATGGAGGTCACTGAGTTTGAGGTGCGTGGAGGTGCCCAGGATGTTGTTGGATAAGCAAGTGTGGGCATAGGAGATTCAGAAGGAAAGTTCTGGAGTTGAGGGAGGCGGAAGTTGGGCCTCTGAGAAGTGGGAAAGGGCAGGAGAGAGGGATTTGGAAAATAACAGGGCCATACATATCGCAGGTTGGAGGCAAATATAAATATTATTATTTTCCTTCTCTTCCTCCATTTGGCCGTCCAGCCTGCCCTCCCGCCTTTAGGCCCAAACACTCAGAGCCGACCACACACGGGGTTAGGATGCACTTGGGTGTTTACTGGGAATGGGATCTCAGAGGCCAGGCCTGGGTCGCTCACACTTTTTTGGTGATGTTCTTGGGGGTGGCGAGCTCATACAGGCGAGGGGATGCCCGAGCCACCAGCGACGCTGGGGAAATGTGGTAGGGGTCGTAGCCCTCGTTGAGGTCCTTGCGCACTTTGGGCTTGGCCAGGGAGATGATCCGGGGACTGGCCACTGCCTTCTTGGTGACGTCCAGCACCTCCCAGCGTGGATCTCGGTCAGGAACACACTGGTTCGACTGGGCCTTGGGCACTGGAGAGGGCAGGAGAGGGGGACCGCGTCAGGCACTGGGGTCTCAGACGTGCGGCTGCTCAGGTCTGTGGAGGTCAAAGCTCCCAAGTTCGATGGGCTGCCCATCGACGGGAGAATGGAGATACACAACATGGCCCATCCACTCGCTGGAACATCACTCACCTACAAACGGGAGCGAGGCGCCCACACGTGTGGCCCCGGGGACGGACGCCGAGCCCACGACCCTCAGGGAGGGAATCAGACACGGAAGGCCACATGGGGTGTGAGTCCACATGTGTGACACGTCCAGAACAGGCTCATCCATGGACCGGAAGGGGGCTCGTGAGGGCCGGCGGCTGGGGCGAGGGTGACGAGGAGTGATGACTAATGGAGAACGGAGATGGGGTTTCTCTCTAGGGAGATGAAAATTCTAAAACTCATTGTGGTGATGGGTGCACAACCCTGTGAATGTACTGAAAACTATTAAATTGTGCACTTTATTTTTTTATTGCAGTATACTGCACACTTTAAAAGGGTGAATTGTAAAGAAGAACTATTTCAAATGGCCACAGGTCCCAGACAGGGAACACGGGGGCCAGCCTCGTGGCCGGGGTGGGGGTGGGGGGGCCTGAGCGGCCCCTTCCCTAGTCCCCTCCCTGCTCGAATGCTACAGTGGGGAGGGGGCAAGCGGACAGGCGTGGGAGGCATCTCCTCTCCCTGGTCGGCAGACAAGGGGCAACTCCCAGGCGTAGGCCCCCTTCGGAACTCGGCACCAGCTTCTTGGCAGAGGCTGCCCTAGCTCCTGTGGGCTCTGGCTTTCCATACTGAGTGGCATGGCTCCCACCAGCCATGTGTGACTAGAGTGCCTGATATGGGCTGGAGTTTTATTTGATTCAATTGTAATGAAATTGATTAACTCATTTAGATCAACCGATTGATTGGTTTTAATGGCATTGCAATAGCTGCCCAGGGCCAGTGGCTGCTGTTGGGGACTGACCACCCTCGGGAGCAGAGGCCTGCGGCTCAGCCAGGCTCCCTCTTCTCACCTCCTGGTACCCCCAGGCCTCTCATGCTGGTCTGCTCCTCCTCCCCTGCCCCCACCCCCCCCTCCTGCAGCACATGGCCTGTTGGGGGACTAGAAGAGGGGTGGTCACCAGTGGTCACTGCCTTAGCCTTCAGTCTCTGGGAGCTTCAGGACCCTGGGGTCCTGGAGGGATGCTCCAGTCTTCTTTCCAAGCCCCCTTTGCCCAGAGCCTCTGGGCAAATGAAAAAGGGTTGACCCCTTCTCAGCAGGTAAGCCCTCGGTGGAGAGACCCTGTGGAAAGGGAACAGGGTCCCTCCCACCAGGCAGGCACCCGTCCACGCGGGGCCTGGGGGAGGAAGCCATCGGGGCTGGACAGCGCTGTGGGGTGTGTGTGTGTGTGTGTGTGTGTGTGACATGCCCAAAGGGAGGGGGCCAAGCAGAAGGGTGGCCCCAAGAAGGACCATGCCCAGACAGACCCTGGCTTCTCTGAATTCCTCTGAGAATTCAGAAGCACTCCTACCATTGTGACATCCGAGCTTTAAAATTCTGTCAATGACAGGGCACCTGGGGGGTGCAGTCTGTTAAGCGTCCGACTCTTGGTTGAGGTTTGGGTCGTGATCTCAGGGTCGTGAGACCGAACCCCGTGTCGGGCTCCACACTCAGAGCAGGGTCTGTTTGGGATTCTCTGTCTCAAATAAATTAATTAAAAACAAAACTCTGCCAATGAAAACTTAACAGTGACGTGGTGACAGTCCCCTACCACATAACACACTGTGGACACACACAGAGCAGTGAGTGGCCGAGGACCCTCCCCATGCCTGCACAGCCCCACGCGGGTCGTTTCTCTCCTGACAGTGCCATCGTGGCCATGGTGGGGCGGGGGGGCAGTCTGCTCTGTGGACAAGACAACCTCACACCGCCCTGAGGAGCACAGTTCACGCATGTCTATTTGTGTGCACATCTGTGGCACGGATGCGTGTACACACAACTGCACCCCACGTGCGTGTGAGAGAGAGAGAGAGAGACACGGTGGCCCAGCGCATCGCACACATGGGCTCACGTGCTTCCTTGCACTTAGCTGTCCACTTAAGGAATATTAAGGGAACAGATGACTGAATAAACAAAAGAAGAGAGGCAAACTGGGAAGAGGTTGTTTTGCGTTGTGCTCTGCAAAGGGTTAGTGATTGTCTTATATAAAGAGCGGCTCTCAGGCAATAACCAAAAAAAAGGAACTAGGAAACCCGGAGAATGATAGAACAGAGTGAGCCAAAACGGCCGGTCGGGCTCTCTGGTGATTAAGTGCCTCTGACATTTTGGGCCAGGCATATAACAGACACACAGGATAAACAGAGAAATACATCATAAGGCACATCAGCTGGTGGCAGGGGAAAGAGCAAAAGCAGTGACAGGGGCTCACAGGTGCCCAGAGGTGGGCACAGCTTGTGGAGTGAAACAGGGCACTGAGGGGCCTCAGCAAGGGGGCAAAGGGGTGAGCTGGTGTCTGGAGAGTGCATTCCAGGACATGGGAAGGGCCAGTGGGGAGGCCCGGGCAGAATGGAGGCAGGTCAAGGCAGCCAGAGGACAGACCACCGGTCCCGTGGCCATGCGAGAGAGGCGGGAGCCCTGGGAGGGTCATGAGCAGAGAAAGGCGAGTCTGATTTGAGTCCAGCAAGATGCCTCTGACAGCCACATGGAAACAGGTGAGGGTGGTGCCAGGATCAGGGCAGAGGCTACAGCTCTGGTCCAGGGACTGATGATGGGCCTCAGATGGGGTGCGTGGTGGGGGGGGGGGTGCGGGGCAGCTAGGCGTGTGCTCAGAAGGCACAGCCCACAGGGGTCCTCCGTGCCTTGGACATGGAGGGCGCGACAGGAATGCCAGGCCAGGAGAGCATCTAGAAGGGTGCTCACTGGCACGCACAGACACGCGGCCCCGCGACTTTGGGGATCTGTGTGTATACCGTGTGTGCATACCCAGAAGGAAACACACCGAACTGCATTATCTCCTTCCCTATGCCCTCCGCACCGCACTAGAGAAAAGGTCCTCTACAATTTCTGTGCGTTACTTTCACCATTGTCTCATTCGTTTTAAAGGAAAGGGGAAGAATCAGGTCAATGCCATTTTAAAGCTGCCCTCGGACCTCAGCTCGGCTCTAGGGTTGGTGCCCGGGCCCACACCCCACCTTGCTCTCCTGCACCCACATGCCCTTGCCAGGAGATGCACTCGGGCCATAGCCCCTCTCAGCTCTGCTCCTGGGGAATGGCCCCCTCTGCCAGCTCCCAGGAGTGCTTGAGTGAGTCATGCTATGAATGGTGCACAGGTGATTGGACAACTAGTCTGCAGTTTCGGGAGAAGATGAAGGAAGAGAGAAGCTTGAACCTGGAAGAAGCAGACCTGGAGCCCAGGTCTTTTGACTGCACCCCACCCCACGGCCTGTGGCCAGTGCCTTGCCCCAGCAGAACTACTTACTGGCCAAGTGAAGGAGGCGACTGTAGTCTGACACGTGCGGCTTGGGTTTGGGCACGGGGTCCCACTCTTCCAACAGGGTGGCTGGGGACCTGGGCTTTGCCAGCCATAGGGTCCTCGGGCTGGGCATGGCCATCTGGGCTGCCCTGGATACCTGGGACACCTGGAAACAGTTACAGGGAAAGTTGATTCATGATTCATCACAGGCCCCTGGATCAGAAAGACCCCATAAGCAACAGTAAGAGACCCAGGACTCACTGGGAAGAAGTTAGTTTGCACTGAGTTCAGCAAGGATTAGTAGTTATCATATATAAAGAGTTCTTCTAAATCAATAACCCAATAACCAATAGGGGCCTGGGCTAATCATATAGGAGAGTAAACCTAAAAGGTTGATAATCCTCTGTTGACCAGGGAAGTATAAATTAAAACAACAAAATATCACTCCATGCCAACAAATTTGGCAAAAATGAAAAAGTCTGAAAAAATTATCAAGCCCTAGCAAGAACATAGGAGGAGAGAAAATCCTCATGCAAGGCTGGTAAGAGAGTAAATTAGGACAAACACTTTGGAAAGCATTTGTCCTTCTCAAGTTGAACATGTGGACACTTGAAGACCCCCTGCCCTGGAGCACAAGGAAATGAAGGCAGTGATAGTCACTGTAGCTTGAATATCATGGCAAACACTTGGAAGCAACCAGGTTGTCCATCACTTGGAGGCTGGGTAAATCAATTACAGTATATTCCTATGGTAGGATGCAATCCAGTCAGTAAAATATTAGTTCTCTATATATGATATGCCATGTTTGAGAAAACAAATATTGAGGGGAAAGCAAGAAAGTTAACACGCCATGTAGGTGTATTAAAAACACAAAATGCTATGATTACAGTCGATGTGTCTAGATACTAATAAAGTTTAAAATGATGGCAATGAGGCAGAGCTGCCCTGATGGGGATGCGGTTGCCAGAGGCCTGACAGACATTTCACTGAGAAACTTGATCCACTTGCTCCATAGATGACTTCTTAGCGTTTTCCAGATAATCCAGGCACTACCAAAATTGTCTGCTTTGATACCTGTGTCAGCCTACTCAAAGGCAGCACCTAGATGGAGCTCTGTTAGCCACCTGCTAATCATTTGTCTTGATTGTCTCCCTACCCCCCAAAAATGCACTCAAGACCCACTCTTCCCAGGCTGCCCCCTCTTTAGCATGTGTCCCGTCCAGCTTCTTTCCTGGACCCGCCTGCCCTCCAGCTGGCTCCTGCACGTATGCAAACAGTCTGCCTGCAGATGAATCAGAGTGGGCAAAATAACGTTCCGAACGTGTGGGCCGGTGACAAGGGGAAGATGAGCTGGCCGTTCCTGATACCTCTGGAGAGGGAAGGAGGGAGCCAGAGTAATTGTTGAAATGCTTTATCCCTTACAGAGGGGGAGTAGGTCTGAATAAACTTGTGGAAATGTTGTGATTGGTGCCGGTGTATATGCAATGTTTCGTGTCATAGGAAAGCTCTCCATACGGTAGTTTTAGCAGGAGCCTTCTGGAAGCAGGGGTTGGCTGAAATGACCTCCAGGGGTCAGTCAGAAATTTGAGTCCCTTTCCTCTTAAAGTCGTCTTCCCTAAGAATCACAGGCGCTACTCTTACCAGAGACATCTTGGTGTTTGTCCTGTTCTGTCCCACTGAACCCTCCGTTTCCTCCTTCCTTTCTTTCCCCATGACTGACACAACGCAGGCCTGACTGCTGGGGGGGAAATGAGCCTGATGTCAGTTCTGCCTGGAGGGGTGGGCAGGCAGGTAGACATTCACCTGTCCATGTCTTAGCCTAATATTGGTTGCCACTCTGTGCCTTGCATAGGGTAATACAAGCTCAGGAATATTGCCACCAAAAGCAAGAAAGACATGGTCCCCGTCCTCGGGTTGCTCCCAGTCTGGTGGAAGAATCAACAGTCCATCCAGAAACTGTGCTAGGGCCTGGGAAGGGGCAAAGGAGTGTGCAGGGTTACTGGAGGCTGGAGGTGGGGCTCCCACCAGACTGGCTGGGAACGGGAGGGTCGGTCAGGCAAAGGAGAGGAGGGTTCTTGAGTACAAAGGGGCTAGATAGAGAGGGGAGCGGTGTTCCGGGTAGCAGGACCTGCGTGGGCAAAGCCCGGGAGGCTCATCGAGGGTCCTGCGTGTCGCCCAACAAAACAGGTATATGAAGAAGGGGGGGTCGGGAAGAGCCAAGTCTTGCTGAGCCTTCAGTTCTTAGCTTGGGAATCTGGACTTTCCCAGGGACTGGGAACCATGGAAGGGTTTGGCACACAGAAGGAAAGAGGCATCAGGGCAGGCTTGAACTGGCAAAGGCAAGGCAGGCAGCCCAGAAAACAACAGGTGAATCTCGGGTGAGAGGTGGGTCGAGAGGACCGTGCCCTCCTTTGGATCCCGATTCAGCCAAATTGGCCATAAAAGCCTTTTGGGGGGGATCAACTGGGAAAAGTGAATACAGACTGGGTATTTGGATATTAAGGTGTTATTGTTAAATTTTTTGGTGTGATCATTGTTATTATGGATGTCAGTTAGAAATGCATACTGAAGTAGAAGAGAAATGGTATGATGTCTGGATTTACTTTAAAAAAATTTTTTGAAGTGGGGGGTTCTGGAAAACAATCCTGTGAAAATCCCCATCAACATATTTAGTGCAGATTAAAACCACAATGAGATGTCAGCTTCACAGCGGCTTTATTTGTAAGAGCCGAAACCTGGAAACAACTCAGATGTCCTTCAGGGGCCGACTGATCCACCCACGTGATGAAACATGACCCAGTGCTCAAAAGGCAAGAACTCTTGAGATGCTCGAGAATCTCAGATACATTAGCTGAGCTGCGAGAGCTCGATCCTGTCACGCGGCGCTCAGGAGAAGGGAAAATTGTGGGAGTGGGGGACACGATGCAATTGCCAGAGGCCATGTCGGGCCTGAGTGGGGAACTGAACTAACTATGTCATGACGTCTGAAACGGGCAGGGAAGGAGGGTCCCTGAGCAGGTTCAAGGCAGTGGTGAGAGGAAAACCCAGCTCCGTCCTGAGCAGACAGACACTGGGGAATCCCGCTTGCTCGACTGAGCAGTGATGTGCAGACCACCCCGGAGGGTGTGTCCTCTGAGGCGGGCCCCCAGGGAGAGCCAGAGGACAGCAAGGCACCTACCTCAGACATGTTTATGCTCCAAATGTTATTCCGGACCCTCGGGGCAGCCAGTTCCCTCAGGCGACTGGAAGCTTGGTATTCCAGGGAAGACCGAGGAACAGGCCAAACGGGGGCGGTCCTAGGGGACATCCACAGCTGACACAGCAGCTCAGCCAGGGGCTGTGTCTTCTGCGTGTGTCATGCCCTCTCAGCCTGTGTCTGAGTTTGGGAATGAGGGACAGCCTGGGACGGTGGAGGGTTTTGGAAACACCTCCAGGAAGGGATTTCAGGAAAGAATCCCTAAAAGAAAGCCCCTAAGTGTTCTCAAGGACAGAGCAACCCTCTCCCAAGGTCATCCCAGCTCAGCGTGCAATGGCCATCTTCCAGTTCAGTGCTTCCCTGTCCCCCTCTGTGGTGACAGTGGCTCCCAGGGCCTCTCGCCCACACCCCTGTTGGGACTGGGGTCAGGACTGGACATAAGGCATAAAAGGGTTGGGCCTGTGTATCCAGAAATCAGATGTCAGGTCTGTCTCTGCCCCAGAAAGAAGGCTATGTTTCATTGATCTGAGGCAGACGGGTTTGTATTTTCACATCTCTGAGGTTGGAATGCAGCTTATAAATGCTGTCAGCCAAACATCAGAAGTCCCATGGCTGTCCTCGCTTGCGTGCGCTCTGGGGTGGTTGTTGGCACTGAAATGGCCTCAGCTGAATTATATGCATTCTTGGATCTACAGATGTTAAGTCTAATTGCAGTTTAAGTTATCTTCAGATTACACGATGATTCAGCAATAAAATGGAAAGTTACCATCACAAAGACAGACAATAAAAACAGTGTGGGGAAACTTGTCAACATCTGAGTCAAAAAGTGATTCAAAAAATTCAGACACAGTTTAGCTAATTCATCTGCTATTATTTTCCTTTTAGGTGCATAAAAATAAGTAATTAAAATCTGTGTCTAAATAACTCTAAAGATAGCTTTTAACAAGCATGAAAGTTCTAAGGGATAAGAAGGCATTGTGTTAAAAGTTGTACATAAAATAAGGTCTTAGGATTGCTAGCTTCTTTAGGGCCCAAAAAATCCAGAATGGTGATAAGTAACATTTGTTGAGCACTTGCTAGGTCAGATACTGTGCTCAGTACCTTTTGAGTATGATCCCCACCTCCGCTCATCCCACAGGTGGAGAGAGAGCTGTAGCTCATAGGGTCAAATGCCTGCCCACAGGCATCCAGCCCAGTCTGAAGTCAGGTCATCTACTCCCTGGACCTGGACTCTCCCCATGCCACACTCTGTTAGGGAAGGGAGAGGTTTTCTGCCAACTCTGCCTTCAGAGTGCCTGCTCAGCGCTCCTTCCTTTACCTGTTGTTGTTGTAATACTCCGAGTAGAACCTTTTAGGTCGAGCCAGTTCCTCCACGCGGCGGGACACCTCTATGCAAAATAGGAAACAGCCCCAACTGAGAAACCTGCCCACCCTCAGAGATTTCCTTCTTGCTTAGTGTTCCACTAGCTAGAGTGAGAGGCACAATGTGAGTCACTGAGGGCCTAGAGAGTCGAGCGCCAGATTCCTTGCAGAGAAGTGACTTTTGCTATCCCCATTCTAGGGACAATGGTCTCAGGGGCCTGAAGCCCCTCACTCAGGGCACACAGGAGGGGAGCTGCAGGACTGGAATGGGAGCTCAGGCCCATCAGTCCCTCAACAGAGCTCAGCGTGGCTCCAACAACCCACTGGTTGGGAAAGTGGATTTTGGTCTGCAGTTAGTACACGCCTAGGGTTTACAAGAGCATAGTGTCCACTCTGAGGAAGATTCTACAACCCCCAAGAGAGAACCTGCCCTATTACTTCTCTCTAGTAAGAGATTTCTTGAAATAGTTTATTTTAAGGGATCCACTGCTCTCAAAAAGTGTAGAAACCATTGCAGAAGGGAAGGCAAAGAGTCTTTTAATAAATTTAATAATTACCCCCATTTTGGCTGTAGTGCATATTGGGATTTCCCCTGGAGTTTGCCCCACATCCCTCACCCCAGGACCAGCCTCCAGTGTTTCTGGCTCCTCAAGAGACAGAGGCCAGAGATGAGATACCTGGGAGATGGGGACTGGGGCGCAGCAATAGAGAATTCTGGTGAGGTTAGGGCTAGGGAAGACCCCAGTTGGACTCCTCGGTTGGATCTGGGGCACAGGTTGCAGTGGAATGAGGGTGACCCAGCATGAGAGTTGGGACAAGGGCCACCTCCGGCCCACCCCTGAGCTAGGTGACCCCTGATGGAGAAGTGGAGATGGTGGGTGGGCTCCTCCTACCTGGCACTGTGATGGTGAGGGTGGTGTCTTCGAGAAACCTCTCTGTCCAGTACACAGAAGGCCTGGAATACACCGAGGCATGGCTCAGGGTCAAGGAAGCTGGGACACAGGCTTCCAGTGCCCTGCTCTGAAACAGAACTCAGGGCACCTTACAAACACAGATATGCACAGGAGGGAGACAGTGAGGCATGTGGGGAACTGTAGATGCTTTTGAGCAGAGTTGATGCTCAGAGAAGGGAGAGCAGGACCCAGGGCCCTATCACGGGAGCAGACCCACTTCTCAGCTGGGTGGACTGGCGTCCAGAGCACCAAGGTGGAGTTGGGAATGGCCCTCGGGGTGAGGAAGCCCCCCATCAGAGGGCCCTTTCTCCCAATCCTTGCCCCTGGTGAGGAGGAGGGATCCCCTGGAGCATGCCCCCCCCATGGCAGGAGATGGAGGGGCACCCTGGGACTTACCAGTAGACACAGAACTGCAAGTTCCTCTTGCATGGGGACACCCAGGCATAGCCCTTACAGCAGCACCCCATCCTGCGATGAGACAGGCCCTAGCCCCTGACTTTGCTCTGTGGCTCCGTTTGCTCAAAGGCCTCAGTGTCCTTCACCAGCACCCAGAAGCCACCCCAGTTCCATCCCTGGAGCCCTGACTTCTAGCCTCCCTCTGTACCTGGCCCCCGGGTCATCACATGGGTGAGAGATGGGACAGGGTAGAACCCCAGGAGCTGCCCTCCTCCTCGTGGACCCCACACCTGCCTCCAGCAGCTCCTCCTCCTCCTCAGCCCCACCCCCACCTCCAGCGACACAGCCCACAGGCCTCACCTGTCTTTCAAGACTTGCCAGTTGGTCTTGGGCTTTGCCAGCTCAAAGACCCTCTTCCTCCTCTTCCTTGCTCTGATGGAGGAGTTGCTGGGGAACCTCTGGGTGATGGACAGCCGGCTTTGGGAGAGGTGGGCGGTGAGTGGGTCAGGGCCCTGCCCAGCGAGAAGGGGCCTCTCTGGGGCGGTGTCTGGCATCGCAGACCCCTGAGTGGAAGTCCTGGCTCGGAACCGGCCGAGTCACCACTGTGAGGCCCTCTGCAAAGTGGGGGAGACCTGCTCCCAAGGCACCAGGCACCTGAGAAGACTAAAGAGGACTAAATCTCATGAGCAGGTATTAAGTGCCAACTGTGTGCCAGGCCTCCGGAAGCCCAGAGACTGGGAGGAATAGGGTGTCTGGGGCTGAGACACCTGCCTGTTCCCTCACTGGGTGCCACCCCTGGCCCAAATGCCCCCCCCCCAGGCCCCTCTCACTGGCCTGCGCTCTTCCCCCCACAGCAGACGTCGCCGGCCACCACCTGCCACACCGTGTGTGCGTGTGTGTGTGACACAGGCTCCGTGAGAGTGGGGGTGGGGGGTGGGGTCCCTCTGCAGTGGGGGGGGGGGGCAAGGGGAGAGGCTCTTCCACCGGAACAGCCGAGCCAGGGTGAACCCAGTGCGTGGACCCAGCGCAGGGCAGGCCGGAGAGTTCCGGCAGAGGAGCCGGTCTCGGAGTCCCGCAGGAGAGAGAGCACCTGTTTCTTTCCAGGACTCCACAACTTGCCACAAATCACTCCCTGCAAACGCTCAGCCCGCCAGTTACCCCTTGACTGGGAGCACGTCGTCCAGGCTGTCTCAAACACTTCTGGGAGTTTGAGGTACTTGGAATGGTTTTGGCTTTGAGTTGGGAGGTTCTCCCCATCCCTCTTTCTCTCTGACTGAGGGCCTCCACTCCTGGCTTCCCAACTCTGGCACCTGAACCCTGTCTGTCCAGCTCCCCAAATCAGTGCTTTTGTAAGGTTTCCAATTCTGACCCTCCCCCCACCCGCCGCCGCCTGGCTGTGGCTGTGTTTGCCTCAGAGGCCAGGGAGGGGCCACCCTCCCGTCCCGCATGGCTCACACCTGGGGTGCCGCAGTCCCCAGCAAGGGCACACAGGGCCACCCCGGGGCGGTGGTGGGACTGTTGCTCTCCCCCCACTGCCCCTGCCCCAGCAGGCCCACCTCATCTCAGGGATGCCGTCGTCGGCGTCTTTCTCCAGAACCCTGTCCAGCTGCGGGAGGGCCACCTTGGGGTTCCGGGGACCGGGCGCTTCTTCCCCAGTCACCTCCTCTGGGAGGGTCTCCTCTTGTTGGTCTTCAAATCTCAGCTCCCCGTCATCTGGGTACCTGGTGTCCGTGGCCTGTCGGCTCCCAGACACCATTCCCTGCATGCCCAGGACGCCATAGTCCCGTCCCCGGTGTGGGCTGCCTCCGGCCTCCGAGCTGTGGTGGTTGAGGAGCGAACTTTGCCACTGGTCCCCCATGCACTGGGCCCTCTGCAGTCCCGCAGCCTTGCTCCCCAAACACCCGAGTGTGTCTGTGGTCCCCGGCGACAGGAGAATGGCCCGCCCGCATTCTGGGCGCCCACATTCCACTCCCATCATGGCCGTATGTGCTATCGCCCGGACCATACGGCAGCTCCTCGTGGGGGCCTGCTCACCCACCGGACCTTAGCCCCTTTCTCCATCTTTTCCTGGCTAAACCAGGACTAGTACCCAACCCCATCCTACATTTCTTCTTAGTAAGACCCCATCTGTGCTCAGTCCAAGGAGCCGGTGCTGGTGGCCGCACCTTCCCAGCATTGGTTTAGGGTTGAGACCTGAGCGGCAAGCTGCAGGGGGCTTCTAGGAACAGAGTCCTGGCTCTCAAAATGACACGTGAGGAAGAGAGCCCATCTCTCCTTCTTGGCAGTTTTGGGGACTGTCGGTGATGTCTAGAGCACAGGTAGCCATCTTGTGACCATGAGACCGCCTGTGAGTCTGAGAATGGTGGGCTGCAGGATTTGGCGGCGTGGTTGAGCCCCTGAACTTGGCAGTCATGGCGCAGGCTGTGCGTCTGGCCTTCCTGTTACTGGACAGCGGATTCTCTTAGCTCCGAGCTGTAGCCGGGTTTCCTGAGGCTTGCAGCCAAAAGCACCCTAATGGATACACAGTCTTCCAGCCCCAACATTTCAAGAAATAACTTCAGCTACAGCTGGTATTCAAAACGGGCTTTCTTACCTTGTCAAAACAAAGCGGCAGTTATGGTAATTGAAGCATTCTCGTGGCCACGCGACGCACACCCCAGGCTCCGGTTTTGAAAAATTCCCTGTAGGCCATCAGAGGAACTGCCTCTGCCAGGCCACACTCCTACGTATCACGCCTTTCCCTTTCTCTGCTTGGCTGTTTCCTGCTCATTGTTTAAGACCCTCCCTTGCCCGGCCCTGCCCACCAGGTCCTGCTCTGTTCCCCCAGCCCAGGCTGTTCATCCCCAGGGCCTGAGGGAACCCTCCCTGTGCAAACCGTGAAGCTGCAAAGTCCTTTCCAGTTCTCCATCCTGCCTCCCTAATGCTTTGCCCCACCATTACCTCTGTCAGGAAAGGGAGAGAAGGAAGGCGTCTCTTGGATGATTCCAAAAGAAAGGCTTTTGAGGGCATCTGGTTCAATCTGGGAGACCCTTGCAAAAATCCCCTTTACTGGCCTGAAATGTCCTAAACCTTGCACTCAGAGATTTATTTTTCCCTCTTAAGTTAAATCTGACCAAGATCCACAGGCGCCTTTCACAAAAAGGTAAAGTCCATATTGCCGCACTCAGAGGGACCTGTCATCATTGCAAAGTTCTATAAGCAATTGCTGTTCCAACATGAGTCCACTTTATGGGAGGGAGTTGGGGGATGGGCAAACTAGGGGAAGGGGATTCAAGGTACAAACTTCCAGTTATAAAATTAGTCACAGAGATGAAAAGTGCAGCATGGGGAATATGATAATATCGTAATAACATTGTTTGGGTGACATATGGGATTGTGGAATCACTATGTGGTGCACCTGAAGCTAATAGAACATTGTGTGTCGACTACACTGCAATAATAAAAATTATTTTTCAAGTCCACTCTCCTACTAGAGACAGCTCATTAAACCTGCTTGGCATGAAGTTAAGCCTGTATCTGCCACACCTAGCATCCACGAGTGCCGTGAAGGCCAGGCATTGCCTTGAGCTCGCAAGAGGAGCAGGGTCTCGGGAGCCAGGCACTTACATGAGGTCAAGGAGAAGGGAGGGGCCAGAGCTCCACCAGCCTTGGAGGGAGGGCTGGAAGGTCCATTTCTGCTGCTCAAATACGTGGGAAAGCAAGAAAGTTCACAGCCAAGGAGCTGGAACCAGGGGGGGTGATCTCTGGATGTGTAGGATGTTTTGAATGGAAAGCAGAGGGGACCGGAAGTGGCTGAGAGTGTGTGGAGTTTGGTGGGGAGGACAGCAGGTGGTGGGGAAGGAGGGGCATCTCACTGCATGGTGCCAGGACCTGGGATAAGCATAGAACAGAAAACAGATTGGATCCCTATTAGATTCCTTTCCTGGTGCTGCATAGCAAACGCCGGCAAACTCTGAGGCTTCGACAACAGTAATTCATCATCTGGCAATTCTTGAGGCCAGAAGTCCACCGTGGGTCCCACTGGGCTCAGATCGAGAGGTCGGCAGGGCTGGGTCCCTCTGGACATGGCAAGGGAGCATCTGTTTCCGGCTTGCTAGGGTGCTGGCAGAACTCAGCTCCTTGTGGTGTAGACCTGGGGTCCCCACCTCCCGTGGCTGTCAGCTGAGGGCTGTCCCAGCTTCGGAGGCACTGCCGCCTTGGCCCGTGGCCCTCCCTCCGTCTCTGGCCAGCAGTGAGGACCGTCCCTGTTCTGCTTCTTCTCATGTCTGTGGTCTCAGCCAAGAAAGGGCCCCAGTTTCTAAGGACCCACATGATTAAATGAGGCCCCCCTGGATAATCCAGGCCAGTGTGCCCGCCGCAGGGTCTGGAACCTGAATCACATAAGCACAGTCCCTTTTGCTACATATGGTTCCATGTGCCCAGGTTCCAGGGATGCGGATGTGGACGGTGTCCATCTCATCTCTGGAGCGACTGTTCTCCTACCTCACCCACCTCACACCACACACACAAATTGACTCTAAATGATTTCAGGATCTAAATGTCAATAAGAAAAAAGGTAAACCAAGTGAAAAATAGGAAAAAGACATGAAGAGGCATCTCACAGAAAACATGAACAGATGATACTCAGTGCCTGACTGACCAGCAAAACGTTGGAGAGAATGATCTCTTTTATGCGCTGAGGAATTCGGTCTAAACTTGGGGAACAACTTGGCATCACCTCATAAAGGAGCGAGTGCCTGGACCGGCAGCCAAACAGGCCGTGAGACTTACGAGAGGGTCACACACGGACTAACAGCGCTGGCATCCTGGGAAGGACACATGGTCGCCACTGGGATTGCCCACACCTGCCACGGGACAAAGCAGAGGGAGGGAGGAGGAAGGAGGAAAGGGATGAAGGAGCGGTGGATAACCATGTACTACTAAAACGTCCTCCACCTAGTTTATGTTTAAATAACTCCAAATGAAGCAGGGGCTGCAAAGAAAAGGCATCCCATACACCTGCTCCTTTCAAAGTAAGGGTACCGGGCCTGGGGCGGGGCGGGGGGGCGGGCAGAACACCTCGTTCTGAATACCTCGTTCTGCAGGTGCGAGCGTCGGCCCCTCGGAGGCAGGGAGGCGCCGCAGTGACGCGAGTTGGCCACCAGAGGTCGCCCCTCTCAAGGGCATAGCGGGCTCTCCGCGAGCCGGGCGCGTCGGGCTGGGAACTCCGTGCCCCCAGCTCCTCGACGCCCCGCCCCCGGCACTGTCGCTCCTCCCCCTTCCTTCCAGGAGGACCCGTGCTCCGCGTACGCACGGCGCTCGAACACGCAGCGTTCGGCGCTGGGCAGCCTCGGGTGGGGCCTCCAGCTGGAACCACATTTGCAAAATTCCGTGGTGTTGGGAAGTGCCCTGGACCAAAGATGACACAGGGATCAGGGGCTTCCTGGGTCTAAAGTAAACTCACTGGAGACCAGCCCCAACTGTGCTCTTCCCTCACACCTGCTACAAGGGTTATTTCCCAAAGCAGGGACACAGACTGGTGTCTTCAAGGGGCCGGTAAGTGAGACACAGGCCCAGAGCTAAATGACATCAAATAAGATGATGAGAAATCACTCCCCTTTGTCCTTAATTACAATTCTTCTGGGTACCTCAAGAGGTAAATCTCAGTTTGCAGCTAGCAGAGGTTTGAATTCTCCAGTTTTGTTCATCCTTTTTAACCAAGAGAGAGCAGGTCCCTGTGTGGGCCCGGCTGTGAAAGCTGGACTCTAATGTTTTGTTCTTACTGCTGTTGGTTTACACACCTTGTTTCTGGTTTTGTTTTGTGATTGTTACATAATAATTGCAAACAGGCATCATGACCCTTTACCCCTGAACACTCGGTGTGTGTTTCTAATGTCCCCTTATATAACCACAGCATGGTTATCAAAATCAGGGTAAAAATAACACTGATAAAATACTATTATCTAGTCAAGAATTTTTTTTAAGATTTTATTTATTTGACAGAGAGAGAGCGCACAAGCAGGGGGAGCAGCAGAGAGAGAGGGAGAAGCAGGCTCCCCGCGGAGCAGGGAGCCCGACTCGGGACTCGATCCCAGGACCCCGGATCATGACCTGAGCCGAAGGCAGACGCCCACTGACTGAGCCCCCCAGGCGCCCCTAGTCAGAAATTCTTAGTCATATATCACAGGTTGTTCCAATCCACGGTTCCCTCCACCCCCGGCTCCCAAGCCAGTCCAAGTGAGGTGTCATGTTTATGAGCCTTTTCAGTACCCTCCACTCTGGGACAATTCTTCACTCTCTATTTCGTGAACTACACAATTTTGAGTTTTGTCCAGTTATTTTATAGAGGCTCCTTCAGTTTGGGTTTCTAATATTTTCTCCTGATCGGTGAGAGGATGTGCATAAAACGAGGAGATAAAATGCATGTCGGTGCATTTTGGCAAGAGTCCCTCAGCGGGTGCTGCCCATGGTGTCAGCATACCTCATCACTGCGGAGGCTCATCTCCAGCCTCTGACCCAGGTGGTCTGTCCAGGTTCTCCAAAGGAAAATGCCATGTTTTCCCCTTGAAATTAACAGATAATCTTTTGAGAGATACTTCAGGATGATGCAAATCCTGTTTTCTCTCATCAGGCTTTCATCAACGACCTTTACTTCTTTCCTTTTAGGGAAAGCCGTGCTGGTTTCCCATTTCCAGACATGACACACTCTTTTTTTGTACAAGTTTACTTAGGTAACAGAAATGGGTCCATGCCTGACTTAAGCATATCATGACATAAGAGTGCAAATGAGTGGGCCAAAATCGTGACAAGGGCTCAAGACTGATGGGGTCGCATAGGCTGTGTGGTCTCCTCCAGCTGACACGCCAGGCCCCTCTCCCAAAATTCCTCCTGCTCGGGGCACCTGGGTGGCTCAGG